GGTTTAAAATCACAGTTTTTGGTTGAATAATACTTGAATTGGAGATTCAAAGTAAAATGCGAAGTCGAATTACTTATATTAGGCAATGTTGGGCATATAAAACGGACTTAGCCGCTGACTACAAAAGCGGGAGCAAAATGTCCCATATTTCTGGTAATGTTTGGAAGATGCATGAATAGGGCAGAATTAAAAAAACTCCTTCTCTAGAACTCTCACTGTTTTAAACGACCTGATTGAAGTCCATTTGTGCACATTATACTACACGAATTTGTCATTATAATTATAGGTTTATGGGTGCCAGTTAGGTGTTGATATGCCGATTCCCGTCAAACTAAGTTGAGTAATTAATACCTCGTTTGCTGTCTGCCCGCGTATATATATATATATGCATTATGCAGGACATTAAATCGCCATTGGTTTTATATTTTTGGTTTGTCCATGTCGAAAGCTACTGGACTTTCTACAAATGCCGTATCAAAATGCGGCTATATGCATACCTATATATGTTGGAAATGTCATGTTATCTCGTTGCTGGTAATGTATTAGTAATATTACGAAGAGTTGTGTTTCGGGTGAAACTGTTAAAATACATTACCTTCGGTGCATGCATGAAAGGCGCGTCGTCTAAACTTATGTCGAATCTTTGCCGGATAATGTGACATGATTTAGCGAAATTTGTGCCGTGTCGCATGTAGTTACCTTGCAAGAATTTAATTGAGTTAGTCGCTGATCTACTACCGCTTTCAAGTACGTGTTTTTTTATTCGGCGCATAGGCAAAATTCCCTCTCTAAACTGGTGAGCCATGCAGGTATATTATTAAGATCAATATTACTGTGCATTGAAATTGTTTTATGTTTGGTTTGATACAATTGTATTTGTAACATAACGACTCTTTCGACCAGAAAAAAATAGAACTTAAGTGAATTAGTTGACACTAAGTTAATGCTATTAAAAGACGGAAACGGCAAGCTCGCCGATGTGTATTTTAATTAAACCACCTTTTAACATATGAGAAACATTTTGCTCAATTATAGTATTGTTGCAGTATTTCACCGCAACAGTTTCGACGTTGCGGTGAAATACTGCAACAATATATAACTGTCCGTAATACTTGTCTAATAGTATTCTTTTCTAAATCTTACAAGGCAAGCGGTTTCAGATAAACTTTTAGACACGCCTACAAAGTCAAAGTCGGTTTAACCATTGTAAAGATATTCTCTAAGGCATTTAAACGGCTTCATGAACGTATTTGAACGTTTTGTACAAATCGTTCGAACGATTTAGCAGCATTTTTCACACGTTTTTATCCAACCGTTCGAACGGTTCATTAAGGAGTCTGAACGATCTCAAAAATCGTTTCAACGGAACGCTAAAGCGTTTAAACGGATAACGAACGGATAACGAACGATTTTTTAGAACGTTTTTCAAAACCGTTAACGTACGTTTTCCCAAGGAAGGTCACAATTATCAGAACGGACGAAAGACAGTCTTTTAACCATAAAATAAGCAATCAAAGTGGTATTTGATCAGTTGACTGCGTGAAGTTGAACTGAAGACATCAACATGCCGGGAGGTACATTTGTTGTAAACGAAAAACTACTCAAAGACCTTTTTTGAGACAACAACGTGGTGGGAATATCACTGGGTATCGTGGTGCACGATTTTAAAGAGGTTATGGGATCGGAGGTATTTTCAAGAGCCTTGCGAGATATGCTATCCCTCTATTCAAACAAGGTGCTAAAGTTGTTGGCAAAAGAGCATTACAAGCAGCCACAGAAGTTGGTCAGGATGCACTGCAAGGAAAAAATATCAGAGAATCTGTAAAGACTCAAGGAGGTTACGTTGTCAAAGACTTTGCCGAACAAGGAGCAAAAGCCCTACTACAACAAGCAGGGCGCGGAAGCAAGAGAAGGCAAGGCCAACGCAGTAATTTATCAACTACAAAGAGGTTAAAACTGTGTTCTCATATAGCGCTCCCAAGACATACCAAATGGATTACGGAAAATGAAAGCAGCCACGACGATGAATCTGATAGCAAAACTTCTCAATAAAGTGACGATATATATTAGAAGCATAATTTTGTAAAACGTTTTGAAGAAATAAATGTATTTTAAAACTGAAATCTTGTGTAAATTCTCGCCCGCAAAGCCTCGCGCCCGATTTTAAAGCATACACCTTTGTTATAAATAATTCCTATCTATCCATTGGAATACACTTAGTTATGCAAATTCGTATTGCCTTAATCCCCTTAATAACCTACACACCACCTAATCCTTTAGCAACACATAGCAACGTATATAACGACAGCATATTTGATAAAAACTTATTTTTATCGCAAAATATATATAACGCTTCTAATTCTAACTTACTATTCTTATGATCTGAATCGTTCATCTAACAGTAAAGATATGTCGGTAGGAGGTTTGCTAAATACTGTTGAACAACATGAAAATAGCGATCGTAACAATGGCGTTGACAACCATGTTAACTTAGCAACTGCTTAGTTCTGTTATGAGATATGTTGCAATTTTTTATTTCTGGTTGAAAACTTATTGCTGAAAACGGCTCCTTTAAAAGTCATCAAATTCATTAAAAGAATTAATAGTCTCGGACCTGTATATGAGTTTGTATGCGTTTCATTTACCACAGGTAATCTTAACTGTTTTAGGGTAAAATGACCATGGCGGTCAACATGGCATATCCAAAACCTGAATCCGGGACGAAAGTCCTGAAAATGACCCTGCCCTGAAACGCCAGTGCCGACATAGCTCTAACTTCCGAAAAGTAAAAGCGACAGCTTTTCTGAAGTGCTTATAGTGTTTAGAAGGGTTGCTTTTAGGGGTGGTTATTGGAAGGAAACGTTTAATATTTTGCAAGAAAATGACCATTCATCACCCCAGAAAATAACTAATATACATGGCAGAAATTAAATATCCTTATTTCCTAAAAAAAATTTCCATGGGATGAAAAACTATGCTTAATTTAATATAATTATTGTAGTTTTCATAAGGATAGTCACTGTTTTCTATAAATATAATTATCATTTATAGACCCTCCGCTCGGGGGATACGGCAAAATATTACCCGAAGTGATGATATTTCCCGAGGAGTTTTGCCCCGAGGAAAATATCAACACTGAGGGTAATATTTCGCCGAATCCCCTGAGCGGAGGGTCTATAAATGATATATTATAACGAAAATTAAAAGCCTCCAAGTTGAGAATTAAAAACTTGACACATAGGATTAGCGCAAGTATTGTCGCTTTTTTGTCGAATCACATATCGTTTGGAATATCAATGACAACATTTTTCAAAATTTGCTTCAAATTTTGAAAAAGCCCAGGTTTTATATCATTTAACCAGATTATTCATCACTCATCAATACAATTTATATTTTGTCGGCCATGTTGTTGTCATGCGTGTTGTCTCGCGTGGTCTACGCGAATAATGTTCCACCCCATGTTCCCCGGGGAACATGGGGTGGAAAATTGTCAAAAGGAGCGCAGGCTCGCTAATTGGTGACGTAAGGCGTGATATCGCGATTAATTTAATGCTCACGTGGCACAAACTAAGCTTCCTGATTGGACAGTTTGAATTTGAGGTATAATATTATATTTTATTTCACCTACCCCCCACGAAAACACGATTTCAGCCATATTTTGCCGTCTTGTTTGCTTTATATCGCCGTGTCTCGCAAGTAACATCCAGTTGTTGTACTTTTACATAATGGCAAATGGCTAAAGAAGATTTCAACCAAGTTTCGGCAAGTTTTGGAGCAGTGCAGTTTATTTTATCTTCGATATGGTGTCCTTTGATATAGCGTCCAATATGCCGCCATTTTAAAGGCTCGCCGATTCTCTGCCCGATAAATGCCACTTCTTCGTCTTCATATGTATTTAGATTACAGTATCCAAGAGTACTTCATTGTAGAATAGTCCTAATCGAAAATTTGAAAAGATTACTCGCACTTGGAAGGAAAAAACCTCCCACAACAAATTCAGGATATGTATAAAAACAAATCATTTGAAAGTCACCGGCAATCTTCGCGAAAATTCCTCGTGGCTACTTGACAGGGGGGGGGCGGGAGAATATTTTTATTTTATTAAACTTTGGCACGCTAAGATAACTGCCTGGCGAAGTTGTCTCAAATTCCTAGACTGCTGCTCATGCGGGACGTTCCAGATTTGTTGCTTCAATTCGAACTTTCGCTTCGAATTTTTCATTTCCCACAAGCTCCAAAGGTTAACATATTTTATGTAAACCATAATGTAATACAAGATTGAAGCTAACTTCTTTAAAATTTTCAATACTCCCTAAAAAATAGCAAATGTCTTTAAAGAAATTTATTAAGCCGTTTTAGTCGATTTTTTCACCAATTTTCAAACTGAACTTTGGTTAATTTCTCGACAACCTGTTTCGTATTACATTTCGAATTCAATTTTTCTAATATAAATATCTCGGCGACTATTTACCCCCCTTTTAAATAAATGCCACCATTGAAATCCTCACAATATAACCTTTCGAACGGGGGGTCAAGTGCCGTCAAAACATTACACAAACCGAAACAATCATATATTTTATACTCACTGCTTCGCCAAACATTCAAAGGAGAAAATGAGAAAAAGTTGAATATATTCTAAACTTTGGTGTCATTTCCTGAAAGGATATGTGTAAAATACTCTTTGTATTCAAGCGCTTTCGTGTAGAAAGTTTCGTATGTATACACCGACTAGAAATATTTATTTTGAATTTTTAAAGTATCGGGTTTTACTTGCACGCGCTTGTATTACGTAATACTTGGCCAATAAGGAGCTCCCTTTAGCCGGGATGACGTAAAACTCACGCGTATGGGTGCACTTTGACCTGTAGAATCCATTTCTGGCATTTCCAGAGTCACGCGATGCAAGCGTAGCATTGTTTTGACGGTTTTTCGTCGTATTTCCGGTTGGGATTAACGCATATTCGGTAGAGATGGGCGATACCAGCTTTTTCATTCGATACGATATTTGCTCGATATTTGCCGGTTTTTTTTCGATATCGATACCGATATCGATATTTTCCCAACTTGAAATCATTAACAACGGCCACAACGCTAACAATATAAACATTGAATAATATATGTCAGTGATTGCAACCAACATAACCAGAAACTCCCATCCTTCCCGTGGACCATTATAGCACCATAGAAAATGAACTATTTACGCCTATTTAGGCTTTTTGGTATCATTTTCATGATGATGCCGCTGACCAAGATGAAAAAATATCGCGGGCGCAGAAATATCGAAACATCGATATTTCTTGCCAGTATCGATACTTTTCTTCAAAACCCTGGTATCGATAGTATCGAGTATTTGGTATCGATATCGGCCCATCCCTAATATTCGGAGCAGAAATACAAAATTCGGCACTAAATGTCGAATTTGAAAGATAGAAGCTTGAAAATAACACTATACGTGTTATTTTTAACTTCTTAATCCACCAAGACGATCAGAATGAGCATTAAGTATATATATATTAAGTATAAGTATATATCAGAACCTGTAAATATTAGATATCTTTTAGAAATACAAGACAGAAATATTTTTAAGGCTTCTGTAAATCAGAAGAGTGTCATAGTCGACTTGATACCAAGAAAAAAATCCACAAGCTACTCTTTGAGGACAGAGTTTAGTCAGTATCCAAGAGTGAACACGGAACGTTTTAAATTGTCGTTTGCAAATAGATTAATTTTTAACTATAACCTATTCATATGATGTAAACTTTACTAATGTATTCTTAATATATACTTGTAACATAAGATATGTATTTTTATCTTTTGATCTATTAAAAAGACTTTTGAATTGAATTGAATACGTCTCAATGGAACGAAGTTATATTCGGCGAAAGGTATGTTTATGTTTATAATTTGTCAGTAATATTGCGTAATTTGACCATATACCAGCTCGTTTGACTTTCAAAGCTCATAAATCGCTATAATGTTGCCATTCACTAAATCTATCGATAGGAATGAGTAGCTATCGTTACACTGAATCGAATGGTGGTATTTTGGTCCACGTAGCATTTACCGAACTGAAGATATGAACCGCAAAAATGAGTAAATCATGAGTGATTTGTTTAATAGGGACCTGTCGGGAAAGAGTTAAAAACATTTATATCTCCCCTAATATGAAATGAAAGATCTTTTTTTTCTTTTTTTTATTTTTTTTTATTATTATTATTATTATTAAATTGAAACCACATTGCAGCCAGAAGCTGAATTGCGTGGATTACATATTATCACATGCACTACATATAAATATATTATTAATACAATATTATAAAACCCACCCTCGATCAAAATTCGATTAAAATAAGCATAAAATCTATCCTACAAACTTCCTACACATAGCAGGGATGAAAGAGTTATAAAAGCGGTTCGTGCGTGTAACGTACATATTAAAATACCGATTCGTCCTGAAAGAATAATCAGTCTCGTTCTTCGGGGGCAGCAGATGATGAAGTTTATGCATTGGATCCTTGATGATACTCGTAAAGAGTTTGTCACACATGTCCTCTCTTCTTTGAAATAGAGTGGACAGTCTATAATACTCAAGGGCCTCACAATATGTCATTTCAGGAGATAAAATTTTTAGCACACGTTTCTGGACAGTCTCAAGTTCGTCTGCCAAATACTTTGGGATGGAATGATGGAAGGCTTGCGCACAATACTCGAGCACAGGCCTGATCACTGTACAATAAAAGTTCAAAACATCATTGACATTTACGCCTGCCCGTTTCAATAATACTATAAAATAGAGGCGTTTTTTTTTTTTATATAAACTTTATTAATAATATGTTTGCCTCAAAAGCCGAGGCTTATCAAGGAGGCTCACATTTAATTAATTTACATAAATGTTTTTATATAAAAAAAGAATGTTTACAAAAATACAAACACAAAAGATACAACCAATAACAAAGAGGAAGACAGACACATTTGAGTCATAATGGCTAGGAGAAACGAAAAGTATCCAGAATATACCGTTGAACTATACCAAATAACATGCAATTTTCTTCATAACTCAACTGGATAGATCCTTTCAACATACACTTAACTTTCTCATTGTCACTACTCAATAGCCATGATTGACCAAAAACTTGTGCAGCTGAGGTAAGAAGTTTGATACGTTGAGCAGCAAAACGGGGACATGATAATAGATAATGTTTTACAGATTCACTTTCTACACCACATGCACATAAAGGAGAATTACAACAATTAATACTATATAAATAATCATTCAAGGCACAGCAGCCCAATCTTAGTCTTGTATGTAAGACAGAAGCTCTTCTCGTAAGTGAAAAGTTAAACCATTTATCATAATTAAATGGATGAAAATGATTAACTATTTTAGATTTAAAAATAGCATGGGAGATTGAGTTTCTCACATCAAGATCAATGGAGTTCCATAAAGAAATTGTGGAAGGAAAATAAGACTTTTTGAATTTTTCAGTTCTACATCTATACTCACTAATATTTTGGCCAGTTCGTAAAGAAATATAAGATCTTTCATTCACCAAAATCGGTAAGAGATCTACTAGGTACGGAGCAGTAGATTTATTAACTATCTTGTAGAAATGAGATAATTTATGAATTTTTCTTCTGATGCTCAACTCCTCCCAAGCAAGTTCCTCACGAAGACTTTTTGAACTAGTACCTGCTATGGCCCCCGTAACGACTTTGGCAGACTCATACTGGACACTTTCAAGCAGGTCACTATTACTAACAGTACAATTATCCCATATAAGATCCCCATACTCCATAATTGGACGTATCAGGCTCTTATACAAACAAGCAAGAGTTGATCTATTAATTTTAAACCTCAACGATTTTAACAAGTTTAAGCGTTTAGAGGCTTTTTCGTACATAGAAAATACATGACTATTCCATGATATATTATTTTGAAAAACGAGACCAAGGTGGGTGTGGATATTAACTTCCGCTATATCACAACCTCCCATTGAAAGCACCGGGTGATTTTCCCTTTCTCTCTTATTCGAAAATGTCATAGATCGGGTTTTAGACGGATTCATAGTCACCAACCACTGATCAGACCACTGGGAGATTTTATTTAGATCTTTATTTAAAAGTTGAGCAGAATTGGTTGGATTATCAACAACTTCAAAGAGGGTAGTATCATCAGCAAAAATAAAAGGACAGGATTCTAGATCGTCAGTTAAATCATTTATATAAATTAAGAACAATAAAGGTCCTAGAACTGACCCTTGTGGTACACCAGAACCGACCTTTTCCCATTCAGATGACTGCCCTTCAATAACTACACGTTGAATTCGATTCTCTAAGTAACTTTCAAACCATTGTAAAAGAGGATTGCGAATTCCGATTGCTTCAAGTTTTTTTAACAATCCAGCATGCCATACTCTGTCAAACGCCTTACTTATGTCCAAAAAAACAACTCTTACTTCTTTGCCAGCTTCAAACGCGCAATAAATCTGATGAACAAAATACAGTAATTGATTTACTGTCGAATCACCTGGTCTAAATCCCGATTGAAACTTATATAAAAAGCCTATTTCTAACAAGAAATTATAAAGTCTGATAAAAACGATTCTTTCACATATTTTTGACAAACATGGTAAAAGCGATATTGGTCTGTAGTTAACTTTTAATTGGGGTTCGCCTTTTTTAAATATTGGGACTACATTAGCCATTTTCCACACAGTAGGATACTGTCCTAGAGCAAGCGACAAGTTGATAAATTTGGTGAAAAAGGAATATATTCCATCACTACAAGATTTGATTATTCTATTTCCGATACCGTCAAACCCGCATGCCTTTCTAATGTCAACATTTCTCATTAATGCTAAAATTTCATCTTCATTAGCATGGACACGAGCAAGGAACGTGACAGTTTGGAATAATGGTATATCAGGTGAAGCAACAGAATTGGCTCCCGGTAGTTGAGTTTGGGTAACAAAATAGGAGTTAAAAATACAGGCTTTTTCTCTGGGATTATTTATCGAAATATTGTTTTCTAATATCGATGGTATTCTTGAACTATTTTTCTTGCCACAAAGATTTTTTGATATGGACCACCATTTTTTGGCACTTATCAGTGGATTACTTAAGTCTTTATTGACTTTATCATAATAAGATTGTTTAGCAGATCTAATCAATTGTTTATTAGCTTTCTTTATACTCTCTCTGATGTTATCTTTCCACTGAAGTGTGCCTGTCATAACAAGACCCAATATTTTTGCACTCTCAACTATAGGCAATGCTTCTCCACCCACCAGTACAGGATCAAAAGGTTGTTTAATTTTTTTAAAATCGATTCTCAGTTCTTTACATTTCGCAGCGTTAAGAGATAGCCCATTTGCCTTCGACCAATCTTCCACAATATCAACTGCGACTTGAACACGGCTCTCTGTGTCCTTACTAACTACTTCAGCAACTGTTGTGTCATCAACAAACTTCCACCTCGATATATCACAAATATCAAGATCGTTTATCATTAAACAAAATAGCCAGGGCCCTAATTTTGTACCTTGAGGGATACCGGAAAGTACATCACCCCACTCCGAATAGCAGTCATTGGATAATTTCACTCTCTGCTTTCGATTTATCAAAAAATCGATTGTCCAGCGAGCAACCGCACGTGGAATAGCTAAATTGGAAATTTTATCAGCCAGTAAAGCATGATCGATAAGGTCGAATGCTTTTCTATAATCGAACAGGATGACTCTGACAGCAGAGCCAGTGCCATGAGTAGCTTGCGACCATTCATGGATCATAGATATAACAGCGAGAGTAGTTGAACTTCTTGGTATTACTCCATATTGACTTGGATCGATTATACTCATGATAGCTGGAGCAATGTATTTTTTAACAACACAGTCCTCAGCGATTTTCGAAATAGCGGCAGTAAGTGAAATTGGTCGTAACTGCTTACAAATGTCGCTAACGGGCTTAGTTTTTATGAGGGGCACAATGTTGGCAACTGTATCTAGCACTGTATACCAAAATTTAGGCTAGCATTTTCTTAATACTATAAACTTATTTGAAAGCCATACCTTGTATAGTTTTTACATTATGTTAAATCAAACACCGATACTTTTTTGAGACACCCGGTATATTAGTTATTTTCTGCATAATCAGCAATTTACCTGGGGTGATGAATGGTCATTTTCTTGTAAAATATTATACTTACACAAATGTTTCCTTCCAATAACCACCCCTAAAAGCAACCATTCTAAACACTATAAGCACTTCAAAAAGGCTGTCTCTTTTGCTTTTCGGAAGTTAGAGCTATGTCGGCACTGCCGTTTCAGGGCGGGGTCATTTTCAGGACTTTCGTCCCAGATTCAGGTTTTGGCACATCTGGCATGTTGACCGCCATGGTCATTTTACCCTAAAACAGTTGAGATTACCTGTGGTAAATGAAATGCATGCAAACTCATATACAGGTCCTGGACTATAAACCGAATTTTGATTGCAAAAATAAGAGAGGGATTTGGACTCACCACATGCTACATGGTTGTAAGGCAAAAGAAATTTTCTACCGTATCGGGCTCGAACCTGTGACCTAAGGAATACCGATTTGGTAATAACTACAGTCCTTTGCTCTACCAACTGAGCAAACTGCAGATTTTAAAAACTACCTTCTATTTCATACTTTTATATATACATGCAAACTATCAGAAACCTCTTGTCGATTTTATACAGGCACTTGTATAAAAGTTCATAGTAAGCCAAGATTAATCCCTCTATTGTATCAGACACATGAAGGGCGCTAAAAATGCGTAGTCAGCAAGTTTTGTCCGACCTTGTTTAAGCTTGCCCGCGTAACGTCATTGCATATAATTATGACGTATGCTAATGATGAGTGACGTCAACTCCACTACCTCCCTCCACCACATTCCGGCCTTCCGCCCTTCCTCCGCCCTTCCTCATCACTCCTCCTCATTGTATGAATGTTAATTACCTCACCATAACTCATCCTCCCTCGCCCTCAAAAATCCGGGTCTAACGGTACCTATATTACTACTCCTAAATATGAGTTTTGGTATAAGTAACATTTAGTTATATTAACTAAAAATCTTAATTGTCGACGTTTTTTCTCGGTTGAATTGCAATTTTTTTTTCCTTTTTTTGCTAAAATTTATCTAGTCACACCATATCCGGCACCTGGAAAAAAAGCATATCCGGCAAGTGAAAAAAAGTATCGAGATGAGATTTTTACGGCCAAACTAGAAAGTACATTCATGCAGCAACCCCTCGCCTTTCTTACAAACAGATGAAGTATAAAAACACTCCATAAAGTATTAAGACCGTAACGATAACATTTGCTACAATTTTATGTACACCAGCTTGCATTATTAAAATAAAAATTATACAAAGACACTTACCTGCACTGTAATTGAGATTCACCGAATACCGTGTTGAGCACGCAGAGATTCATTTCCCTCTCTTCTTATTTTGATCTTTATATTTGTATTTTAGTTTATTATAGCCCGCCCGTTGCCACAAACATTGTTTTATTAGCGTACGTTCCAGAAAGGCTAGCGTTCGAAGGCAGCTTGAGCGGTTGTCTACCTATGGTGAATTAGGAAAACAATGGCTTTAAAGCGTGGTGACCTGGAAACTAGTGTAAGAAAATGCATAATTCATTATCCTTCTTTACTTCATACCATGTTTTGCACTACAGGATTCATTATGCAAGTTTAAAGCAACACAAACATTCTAATGATAACATTTATTTGCACATAACTAAGAAGGTAGTACCACACTGGAAAAGCACTGTTCGTAAGCTAAGAGTCTCTACGGTAAAACCGCGTAAACACATTTTCAGTAGATCAGTCCGCAGTTTTCAAAATTAAATCAACTGCAATACCTTGCAACACTGCCTTAGACGTAGCCGCTCCCCGATAACTATGTCCTTTAAATATGGATACATTCACTCCTGGGTTTGAAAGGACGGTCTTAGGCCAGCGTGAACACGTATCTGTGGATAAAGGACGATAAGGCTTAATGAAAGACAAAAACAGTTTAGTTGTATTAGCCGCTATCCGAGAAGATTTCGTAAGTCGTAAACACTCCTGCAAAGTCAAATAAGAACACAATGAAGCAGTCTCAGGAAAACGACAGAAGGTTAACTGTAGTGGGTCTTTATTAGGTCTGGACGTCTTAAGTAAAGCAGGAACAACAAACGTAATTTTATTTAGTTGAATAGTCATAAATGCTGTGTCCAAGGCGACTAACGTTTGACCGCGTTGAGCTGAGATCAATGCAAGGATAGCGTTCAGTAAGTAGCTTTAAGGACAATTCCCCAACTGGGGGGAAAGTTTTCAGATAAGTGAAAACCGTGTCAACGTTCCATGCAAGTAGCGGTTCAACGTGAAAAAAGGGGCTTTTCGTTAAAATTCTTTTGAGCAAGCGAATTATGATTGGATGCTGCCCAACCGCTTTTCCGTCTATTGGCGGGAATCCTGAGGACAACGCATAACGATGCATATTTATAGTACGATGACACTTGCCGGCATCGAACTCTTGGGTAAGAAACTTTGCTGTGTGGGCTAAAGATGCTTGAACTGGATAGATTTGTTTTGAATCACACCAGCCACAGAACTTTCGCCACACCGAGGAGTACTACTTCTTCGTATCAGAACGCCAGGAATTATATTATGGATGAGGTTGGCTGCGCGCAAAGAAAATCCAGAACTACTGAATTGTCCCCTAGGACAGGCCAAGCGGCAAGGAAAATTTTTTCTCGCAACGGACGTAACTGTATCCCTTTCAACGTCAACAAATCGGGCTTTTGCAAAAGTAGGATTGGATGATCAAAAAAAGAGACAATAGTGTCAGATACCACGCTGAGGTTGGCCAGCATGGAGCAATCACCATGGCCTTCGACACTCGGTCGTATTGGATCTTTTGTAACACTTTCCCCAACAAACTAAAGGGTGGAAATATATAAGATATAAACCCTAACCATGGTTGAGAAAAAGGATCTGTTTTCCAAGATACAAACCTATCTAATTGTGTGTTAAGACGTGAAGCAAATAAATCAACGTCAGGCATAAAGGAAACCTTACAAACTTGTTGAAAAATATCGGGATCTAACTTAGAGAAACTCTACTCTAGCCTAGAGCAACATACTCGTGATAAATAATCAGCACAATAATTCTGGCGTCCTGGCAAATGAAAACCTTCAATTTCACAGTTAGGATCGAGACACCATTGCCAAATTTTGGTGCTTAAAAGGTCTAGTGAACGTATCATGCCACCCATATTATTAATATATGTTATCGCTGTGTTGTCACATTACACCCTAATTAATTTATGTCTATTCAACCGAATGCTTTTAAAGCAAACAGAACAGCTAAAAGCTCATTTTACCTGATTTCTTTGGGACTAAAAATAGGTTTGAAATAAACTGTGATTTATCAAATGAGCATTTTCTTATATGGCTCCCTTGGCGAGCAACTTTTTAACCTCACCACTAATACACTCTTGCTCAGAAAACGAAAAACAATTCTGCTGAATTATGTAATGTGACTAAAAAGGCAAATGACTAAATTCAATTTTATAACCTTGACTAACGGATTGCCCATTTGTTAGCAAACAAACATAAACGATCACTAACCTGCGGCTGAAAAGACACTAAAGGATTTACTGAGGTTGTTGAGTTGACATTTGCTGGCGACGAGGTTGTAGATTGGATCGTTGTATCAAAGTTAATACGGATCTGACCGACGCTTGAAGTTTGATAAATCGCTATTAAACCTCTTTTTTGGTAGATATGCTGGGGCCGCCAAACTTCCGTTTGTTGGAAAACTTCTTAACAAACATCCGTTTAACTTGGGCAATATCACGAATACTTTGCGGCAACTCGTTACCAAACATTTACAGCCAGGTAGTAATCGGTTGATTGTCGCGACACAAAGATTTAAACGCAGCAGCGGCCTCAGGTTTAAGTATTCTGCGGCGTTTCATTGAAAGCTCATACAAAGCATTACCCAAAAGGGTCATTGCATCAATAGCTGAGGATAAACATCTGCAATGGGGATACTTTCTGAACTAATAGATTTGGCCTGAATTAACTTATTTGCCAGTCGAACAAGTGGATAAAACTCTTCACAAAAAGCTCTTGAAAGTTTCACAAATCATCCCAAAGCTCTAGATTAATCTTTGGAGCCAAAAGAAAAGAACAGTTCTTAGGACGCAAGTAACGCTCTTGAATATTCAAAAGCTTCTCCTTAGCCGGTTTCTTAGTGCAAGCTGAGTCGATACGTGTCGCTAAATTAGCCGAAATTTGGTCGCCACACTCCTCCAGGTTATTAAACAAATCGTTATCCGGTAACGCGACGATTGCATCATTCTCTGTTGTGTTTTCGTTAGAGTTATTCTCTCCACTAATGGAGAACGACGAGTCAAATATTTCGCCATCCTCAAGTAAAACATCTTCGTCGAAAACAACATCGGCTGACATAGTTTGGACTAAACGCTCGACTGACTGTGTTAACGCATCAAGCCATAAACACAACAGCGACCGAATTCGAGATAGCAGCACCACCTCCCGCAGAAGGGTGACTATCAATTTTTTCAATGATACGTGGTTTGTTTTCAGACATCTTAAAATAAAATACTAACAACTTATCTCCGAAACGTGAAGGAAAGACTGGCGTACGAAGGCAGCTTGGGCGGTTATCTACCTATGGTGAAATGGCTTTAAAGCGTGGTGACCTGGAAACTAATGTAAGAAAATGCGTAATGAATCTTGCAGTGCAAAATATGGTATGAAGGAGAACAGATTATTTATTATGAATAATTATTGAGTTATGGATGGCTTAAAAATTTCGCAGATTTGAATACAATCGGCAAACACAAAGCAAGTACGGAATGGAATTTCACTATTGAAATGTTTTACACTTACCAAACCGGTACGACGATTAAATTATTAAAAGCATCAACATCAGAACATTAAAACAATTATTACAAATTTTGTTTCACGGTTAGGCAACCATTAATTCATCGAACTGCAGGCTTATTTCCAGTTAAAATCGAAGAAAAAAAAAGGTTTTGCACTTTTTTAAACTTTTTGACAAAATTTTAAAAAAAATTGCTGTAAAACGAGAGGTAGCCCAACAATCCGCACTGACGTATCATCCAGTAGTACAATATCATAAGGTTGGCAAAAAATAATATTATAACTTCCCACGGTCCAAACAAGTCGAAAAAATCAACAACTTTTGAACAAAGTACGCTAAAAACTCCCTTACAAAAATTTCACATAACATTTCATATATGAAAATTTCATATATGAAATCGTTATATGGAATTGAAACAAATTTCATATATGAAATATTTCATATATGAAATAATTCATATATGAAATTTTCATATATGAAATTGTTTCAATTCCATATAAAGATTTCATATATGGAATATTTCATATATGAAATTTTCATATATGAAATTGTTTCAATTCCACATAAAGATTTCATATATGAAATATTTCATATATGAAATTTTCATATATGAAATTGTTTGAATTCCACATATAAAGATTTCATATATGAAATATTTTATATATGAAATTTTCATATATGAAATTGTTTCAATTCCACATAAAGATTTCATATATCAAATATTTCATATATGAAATTCCACATTAAGATTTCATGTATTTATGCAAATTCTTACAATGTTTTTATGCATTGAAATTAAGCGAGTCAGGGGAAGTATATGTGATCCCACTTACCCAAGATTAAACAAAGCGAGCAATGGCTTTGAGGTATTGAAATAAATCCTTATGAAACCAGACAAGCACATGCTAACAACAGACTAAATATAGATCAATGCAAAAAAATATATTCGCAAGAATTAGTGCAAAACAATTACATTTTGCCATGCATTTGATATTTCTACAGAACAAAATCCAAAGCCACCTGGATCATGTTATTTTTCCGAATCATTAACAAATGACTTATTTCAATATCTCAAAATCATTGCACGCTTCGTTTAATCTTGTGTAAGTGGGATCATATGAACTGTCCCTTAAAAAATCCACCTAAATAAGAAAGTTACGTGCTATGCATGTTTGATATACCACATCGGACACTAGTTTATTGGAAATATACAAATTACAAAATAATAAAAACTTAATTACAATATACATATATTTACTCTCAGTTACAAAAAATATCCTAAATTTTGTGTGATTTTGAGGAAATTATCCATTTAGGACATTTTTTGATACACCCTGTATATGCATTACTCAACTAAGAGCATGCAGAAATAAAAAATCAGGGGTGGGTTACCAGTAACACCATGCAGGGACAAGACCAAAGATTAAAATTAAGAAATGCATATAATATCATTACTAAAATATTAAAAACAAATACTGTATGTTTGTGTTCTCTTATAACAGTTTTCCTGCTTCTCCAGTTCACATTGAATCTTTTTCTTGCATTCTTAGTTAATTTCGAAAAATTCTTGGGCCTATCCACCTCAGTTAAGGCATTTGCTGTCAGCATGGACTAATAAAAGAAATTATGTGGTTTATAATACAGTAAAATAAATATACATTGTAAGATCTGAATTTTCTTCTTGTCAGTGACTGCAGTCAAGCCTGTACTGTTTCAGTCAGTCAGTGTCCACATGTCATACGACTAAATCGTTAGACAGAGTAAAATAATACTTAAAGCAGGGCGCGTTGGCACAATGCAACTGAATGGATTAACTAGATTATTAGACATATGGGCAGATAGGCCAGTTAAGTTACTGTACCTATTAAATGCCAGAGCTCTCCCTTTGACGAGTAAATTGTCTGGCCGTAGACAGAGTAAAATAATAAAGCAGGGCACATCGGTGCAATGCAACTCAATGGATTAACTAGACTAGACACATGGGCAGATAGGCCAGTTAACCGATTAAGCACCTGCAGAGCTCTCCCCTTGATGAGTAAATTGTCTGGCGTTAGACAAAGTAAAATAATAAAGCAAGGCGCATCAAAGCGCAATGTGTTAACTTATATCACAAAGAAAAATATCAGTAAACTTACATGCTTGCCTGTCTTGTTTTGGTGGGTTTGCCGGTCTCCTTGCTTGCCTGTCTTGTTTTGGTGGGTCTGTCGGTCTCTCAGTGCATGTGGAAGGGAAGCCATTATACATCTGAGGGTTAACTGTAAAAGGGTACAAATAGTGCATATATTAATTAAGTATGTTGAATACGAATATACTGTACAGTCATACCAACACTCTCCCCTTAACAAGTAAAGTTGTTCGGCATTTCAAGACAAAGAAACATGACAAATATCTAGGGATGCAATGGATATCATATCTGGCCAGATATTGAGACTTTACTTCATTTTCTGTTACATGGCCACCAATACTGGATATTATTTACATAAGGTTCAAGCTTTCAAGATTTACAGTTACTGCAGGTTAGATGATTTGATTACGCTAAAAAAGCAGGGGTGGTTATCATTTTTTTATTCAATGATTGATAACAGGAATGATTGTAAACACTATTTTCAAGATTTTATATGCTTGTTTGTAAATGCAGATTTGACCTTTGAACTAATGCAAGTGAGGCTTTTGCTACCAATGATGCATGTTTACTAACTAGTGTTAGACTGTGAAGTTCTTTCCTATTATTTCAAATCAAAATTTTATAAACACCATCACTTTTTAACCAATTAAAATGATTACTTAAATTAACCTTAAATGAGGCCTGAACCTTATATATTTGAATAATACCCTGAATCTGGCTCCAGGGATATTTTTCAACTATCCAACATATCCTCAACTAAGTTCTTTGAATGTTTGCATGGCGATAAAATATAATTGTTTTTGTTTGTGGAAACACCACGTAAATTTATTACTGCATATTTATTGTTGCAGTAATAAATATACGTGGTGTTTCCACAAACAAAAACAATTATATCCTCAACTATCCAACATATCTGGCTGGAGGGCAAAAAGACTCTGCCCTGCACACCCCTACAAAGAACGTAAAGTATGTAACGTAAGAATAAATTGCTCCTTAGGTATTAATAGGTGAAATATGGGCAAGTAGTCCACAGTCGATAATCAAAATTGTCTAGCATGACATGTCAGAGTTGAAAATCAAAGTACTTAAAGTAGGTAGTGTTAGGGAAAATTGTATCTAAATATATCAACATGAAACATGGGCAGAGTTGACAAATAAAATTGACAAATAAAATTGTCCGGCATTAGGCAAGATAACATTTAACAAAGTGCTGAAAATTGGGCTCATTGGAATGAATCAGTGAAATGGGTAATAATTCCAAAAACCGTCAAATCCTTGCCGAGGTGTATATCTCAAATATATAAAATGTAGCCCAAAGGTTGTTACATATATTATTAAACAGATCATCTGATCATGCAGGTGGCATAAATAAATGTTATTTGCTGTGTTGGTGTAATGTACTTAGGTGAATAAGATGCTTGTGTGATCTTACTCTGATTGTATATCCTCACCAGGCAGGCTTGAAAAATATACCTGGCCACGGTGGGATTCGAACCCACGACCTTTGGAGTACTAGACCAATGCTCTTCCAACTGAGCTACGCGGTCAGGTCAGTTCGAGTATGCTATATTTCGGAAACTGAGTCTAGTTCCTTCGATATCAGTGTAATTTAATAATCATGATATTTGCTGTGTTAGTGTAATGTACTCAGGTGAATAAGATGCTTACAAGTGTGATGTTACTCTGAGTGTATATATATATATATATATATATATATATATATATATATATATATATATATATATATATATATATACACCACCTGGCCATGGTGGAAAATATGCCTGCCCGGTGTGGATATACACTCGGAGTAACACCATAACATCACACAAGCATATAAAACTAAATGAATTCATATAAAGTTTGAAAGTTACCACACAACCCATCAAATTGACAACTGTTATCTAAACTGATCCACCTATATATGAATAAATATTAATAGAAACTTATGAAAGTACCAGTTAATTGGAAACAAATCGATAAATTCTCTCAAACCATGTTTACCTCGGACATACCTAGGTAGGCATATGAGAATTGAGTAAATGAAGTAGATGCCAAGCTATTATTTTATACAAGGAACACTTGATCTGGCAATCCGTCATATACACAACTAGTCTATTTGGCATTACAACAAACATAATTTGATATAAAGGCTGAGTCAAATGTAAGGCTTTGTATAAAAACTAATGTATTTATATTGTCGCAGCGAATTCAAATTTTAAGACGGAACACATGCTCAGAATTCACGAATGAAGATAGTAAATATTTCTTTTCAAAATTGCTCTTTTATATAGAAAACGAAACAATATTCTTACCTTGGAATCTACTCAGTCATCCCTGATGTTCCATCTTCGCTAAAATATACCAGCTTCCAGTAAAATACTATAAATCTTTCGATCGAGCACAGGCGACCCAATCTCGCAAGGGTCAGTATAG